GTGGGTAACATCTGGGAGGATGTGGTGGAGGGGGAAATATAATCCAAATATATTACATGAAAATTTTAAGTAGAAATTTTAACAGTGGGATGATACCATGTTCTCAGGACACAGGACTCAGAAGCATCAGATTTGGAGTTTCCTTCATAAGGACTAGCTTTCATAATACCAGAGGTACTGTGCCAACAATTAATAGTTATACTCAGCTGTGATGCTTATGAAACACAACAAGGTCAGCATGGCAAGATATCTCTAAAGGTCCAATAGCGGCATTCATATCTTGATGACAACCAACAGCTTTCTGACTGAACTTACAGCCTGCTCAACAGGAGAGAAATTTTTCCTGGTACTAGACACCTACCCAAGTACCTAAGGCTAGTAGAGTCATGAATCTTAGAAAAGAATGCACTACCATCATTTTACTAGATCAATATAATTCCCAACTGCAGTCTAAATACTTACACTTTCAGGTAAATGCAGCTCTCATTTCTCATCAAAGAAGTTTCCATTTGTAACAGATGGCATGCACCACAGAAAACCATACTCGTCAAAATACAGAGAAAAGCTTTCTGTGGGATTTCCAATGGATAAATCTACAACATAACCCCAGAATGTAAGGCTCAGGAAGAATTAAGGGAGAAGGGGCATAAAGACAGTAAGAGCCAGAGGAGCAGAAGTCTACTTGGGATTGTGTTTCCCAGAAATGACAGAAAGTACGTGGCTATCTATACAAGACCCAAACAATGACAACAGTGCTAAAAGACATGCTAGCCTGGAATCAAGGAATCTCAAAGGTCTCTGCTCCCGGATAAAGAACTACAGGCAACAAATGACCATGTAGAGGGGGAGAATTGGTTTTCTCTAGGGATGAATATTCTACCTGATTGTCTAATACTTAGTGATCACCCTAAAATCATATACACAGAAGCAACTGCTGTGGGATGTCTCTCAGTATGCTATGAATATGTGTTGCTCTGATAGGTTGATAAATAAAGCTGCATTGGTCTATGGCAAGGCATCTTAGAGACAGGTGGGAAATTTAAGCAGATATATGGAGAGAAGAAAGGAGAGGAGGGAGAGATGCCTAGCTGCCACACAAGGAGAAGCAAGATGCCAGCAGGCCAGTAATACCACATCCAAGTGGCAAAACATAGATTAATAGAAATGGGTTAAGTTATAAGAGTTGGCTAGCAAGAGGCCTGCCATAGGCCATACAATTGGTAATTTATATTAAGCCTCTGAATGATTATTTTATAAGTGGCTGAGAGACCACAGGGCCAGGCCATACCCAAAGAAAATGAGACTATAGGGATGGTTGGGACTGGAGAAACCTTCTGGCTACATTTGGCTGCTCAATATGGAGCAAGAGTTTCCACCTAAAACCTGAGAGAATTTAATAAGAGATTCTAAAATGGAGCCCAAAATAGCTTCTTACTTGATGTTTCATGTGGGCCGCAGTACAAAGATACAATGGTACAGAGATGTGGCAGCATTCGGGCTTGAACGCAGCATTGTGGATTCGCAGATCAGTACACAGAGCTGTATCCAAGCTTCTCAGCACACTGCATGGCAGATTTAGCTTTTACTCATATAGACAAAAAGGTTTTATGGGCCAGCTGCACGTTACCTGATGGCAGCATGAACACCAGAGTTGGCAGGATAAGTGTAACTCTCTTGGGTACCTCCATCATGTCAGGAAGCTGAAATGGGTGGAGACAGCAGCCAGGGCTGCCACTTCAATCTTAGCCAAACTTCAGTGTGCAATGATCAGAAAAGGATTATAGATACACAAAAGACAGATTCTGATGGAATAGACCTCTCAATGGTTTACATTATGTATAAAAATGTACATAGGCTTGGAAGAGAGAGGAGAAGGAGGATAGATAGTTATATAAATAAATAGATAATTTTTAAAAATGAAGTCTTTAGAGAGACAATAAAAATAATATAAAAAATAAGCCATGTAAAGATGAAAATCACAGAGAGGGTCTGGATTATATTGTCTTTGGGATTTTTAACTACAGAAAGACATTTGATTGTAAAGGCTGATGAATTAAACCAATATATATATTTTAAAGGTGTCTTGACTTCAAAATTTATGTCTAAGGATACATTGCTTTGGAAAAGGGATTCTGCTTTTGTTTCCACAGAAGATGATAACCTATGGATTGCTTCCAGTCTAATATGGTTTGACCAGCCAAGACCCCTGGAAAGGTCTCCAATGACACCATGGGCCAGATGATCCAATATCTAAAATCAGCTTCAAAGCAACTGGCTGAGATGATTCATCCTTACAGACTACTCCAGTCCATACTTCTAAAATTTTCTTTGTGTCCCCATAAGACTGCTAGCATCCCCCAATCAGCAGAAAATAGACTAAAAAACTATGCCCACATTCCCAAAAAATTGATTATGGATGTTTGTCTTTGCTTAGGAGTTGGTTACAAATTGTTATTGGTCATAGTCAATTTCTTCCTAAAAGAAAAAAGGGGATATGATGTAGATGTGATAGGATGAAAGGGTAGATTATTGAATCTACTTTTAAAGAGCAACAACATGTTTAAAATGTTTTACATTTGCTATAGATTTTAGTTTATTATAAATTTAAAGTTAATTTTGTTATACTGTATGTATATTTCTACTCTAAGGTATTATGTTTATGCAGCTCATTTAAAATTGTAATATATAATTAAGAAATAAAGATTAATAATCATCTAGGATAATCAAACTCATAGTCATGTTAGTTAAGTTTTTGAGATATATAAGGGCATATTTCAATTAGATAGGTAATCTTCAAAGACTTACAGAATATAGCATTTAAAATGTTTTAAAAATTTAGACTTTCTGGACAATGAGACATGTCTGCTTTCTGGCAGGACCGTTTTGCTTCCAAGAGGAAGATGGGCATCGAAAATGCTCCATATGGAGTTTATCTTCTTCTTGCTATAAAATGACCGGCTGGGCAAAGAACTGCTCTTACCTGGACTGCTTAACAGTATGTTATATAAACTGGACATACAGGACCCATAAAAAAATGATCACTAAATTTTGCTAAAACAAGACAAGACAGTCCTTCAGGTTCCTGCTTCACAGAGGAGACTATCAGATATTCTACAAGACACAGTGAGAAATTACTAAAAAACTCTAGGTCTATAGGCTAAAGATGGATGCCCCTATGTCACAGCGGAACTTTGGATGACTGTCTAGGCAGTCATTCTAGATTTTTTCTCTGTCATTCTAGATTTTTGGAAGTTGCTTACAATGCATTTCCTGTTTATTTAGGTAGTATTATATCCTTCTCGGGTCTTTAATATAGTTGAAGGCTAAGTAATTATAATTATAATTTTCCTTGGTTATGATAAAAGATAAATTAGATATGAAACCTTAGACTCACAAATATAGGATAGATAAAGTATTTTCTTTAATTTTCCCAAATACAAATAGACTAGATATAACTGTAATTCCTACTTGCTAAAAGTTCTGTTATATGTAATATATAATTTTACTGTGTTAAAATTAAAACCTTCCTTTTTGATTAGACAAAAAAGGGGAAATGCTGTGGGATGTCTTTCTGTAGGCTATAAATATGTGTTGCTCTGACTGGCTGATAAATCGGCCTATGACAAGGCTGCTTAGAGGCAGGTGGGAAATCTAAGCAGATATACAAAGAGAAGAAAGGAGAGGAGGGAGAGATGCGTAGCCACTGCACAAGGAAGAGCAAGATGCCGGCAGACTGGTAACACTACGGCCACGTGGCAAAACATAAATTAATAGAAACAGGTTAAATTATAAGAGCTAGCTAACAAGAAGCCTGCCATGGGTCATACGATTGGTAATTAGTATTAAGCCTCTGAAGGACTCTTTCATAAGCAGCTGAGGGACCGCAGGGCCAGGCAGGACCAGAGGACAGGCAGGACTGGAGAAACCTTCCAGCTGCAAGCATCATGGGAAGTACTCAGCAAGGTGTGTGTGTGTGTGTGTGTGTGTGTGTGTGTGTGTGTGTGTGTGTGTGTGTTCAATGATAATAGTCAAAGAAAAGAGGCTGTGAATTTGAGAGGGGGTAAGGCAGGAAGATATGGGGAGAGTTTGAGAGAGAGGACATGGGAGTTGGAGGGAAGAAAGAAAGAAAAGGTGTGAATGATGTAACTATGTAACTATGGTTTGTTTTTGTTTGTTTGTTTGTTTGTTTTGGTTTTTTAAGACAGGGTTTCTCTGTGTAGCTTTGCGCCTTT